TAAATTTAAAAAAAGCTTAATGTCTTAAATTACTGTAACTTTTCATCCTGCAATATTCGCGATCTCATTCTCCTCGCTCTTCATATCCGAAGCTCCTTGCAGCGTGTTCTGTTTCGAGTCCTTTTGTCGGCGTGGTCCCATGTATCATTGGGAGCCGCGAACAAAGAGCGCGCTTCTGATCTGGACGCAGTGGGCAGATACTAAAATTATATAGGAAGAAATTATTGACAAAGAACTCTGGAAAAAGAGAACACTTGTATATTCTGAATGTCTTTCTGAAAAAAAAATGATTTAAAAAATTATCATAATTCCATCTTTTATTAACACGTTCATACAGAGGTGGCCAAATTATTAGAGTAAATATTCTTTTTCTGACTTAACGGATTATAAAGAGTTCTGAGAAGCCCATGAGATAAGTAACTGTTTGAAGTATAATGTTTGTAAATGTTATTGGAAAGTATACACAGTTAATGAGGCACGACCAATTCTTAAGAGATCCTGAAGAACCATTGGTTTTCTCACATAAATGATTTGTTCGGAAAAAAGCCAATGACTATGCTCTATCACGACAGGAAAGACAGTTGGAAAACACATTCAAGACATTGATCAGTCTGGGTTCCAATGGGTTGCAAATAGCCTTGATCTATATTTAAAAGAAACTTAAGAAAAGAAGGACATAAAACCAGCTCATAAAACAACCCATTCGCATCTCGCAAAATGACACGCAAATTGAAAGAATGGATTAAAAATTGATTTTCAACATAGCTCAGAATAAGTATGTTAATTCTGAAATGTTTCTAAAACATTAGAATCCTATAACACGAGAGTGTCGAATATCTAACAGGCCCAAATACATTTTAATCTGATTCAATAAGCAATAATCAAATAATTCAGCCATCGCTGGTACGTACTTTCCGGGTTCCGGTTACGAATAATCATTGGGCACATTAATTAAACAACGATATGATTTTTGCATTGAATGAGCAATTTATGTTTGGCTTAGAAAGTTTTTATAGGTGTTGTGAATAGGATTAGTCTTTGGGCATTTTTAACTAATTAAAATGTTGTCATTACACAATGTTTTTTAAATTAAAGCAGGTTTCGAATGGCTAAGCCATCGAAAGCTGCTTTTTGATTTAAACATTGTTGCAATGAAACATCTTTAATTTATTTTAGAAGTTTTAAGTAACATTTATAATTTCGGGCATAAGAAGATGTTACAGTCGGTTCAATGGTAT